TTAACCCCGACTCAAGCTATCTCAATCAGACTGGAGAGAAAAGCTTTAATTCCATCATCACTGGGGCAAGGGGTGGGGGGTCTCTCTCTCTCTTCTGGATGCGAACTACTATGGACTGAGTCCGTGTCCCCCTAAAATTCCTATGTGGAAGCATAATCCTCAGTGTGGTGGCATGCAGAGGTGGGGCTTGTGGGAGGCAGGGCCCACATGAATGTGATGAGTGTCCCTACAGGCAGAGAGCCCAGAGAGCTCCCTTGCCCTTCCACCACAGGACGGCAGCAAGAAGACAGCAGTCTGTGAACCAGAAGAGGTTCGTCACTCCTTGATCCCGGACTTCCAGCCCCCAGGACTGTGGGAAACAAATGTTTATTGTGTAAGCCACCCCAGTCTATGGTATTTTGGTATAACGACCTGAGCTAAGACATAAGCGAGGAAAGAGGTTGCCCCGGTTGGCGCCGGCAGCCATCTTGTGATGACGAGAAGCAGTTGTGGTGTGGAGCTGTCTCAAGACCCCATGGAGATGGGGGTTCTTCGGCAGGCACCGAAGCTGCAGAAGGCAGAGGCAAACTTTCTGCCTAAAATAAGAACAGGAAACGCAAGGGTCGGTAGAAGTGACAGAAGACGGAGAGGAAAACAGAAAGAGAGAATGGGACCAAGCAACATGGCAGGATCCTGAAGGGAGAAATGGACGAGAGCACTTCAGGGGTGGGGGAATCTAAAATTTAATGTTCCTTTTACGGCACAGAAATCCTTTCCTCTTCCCAAACACTTAGAAAAGTCCTCTGTAGACCCCAATGCCAGCTGAATGAGATTCTTTGTCAAAAATGAAAGAGAAAGGGAGGAGGAGAGAGCCCAGGAGAAGGATGGGGAGAGCAGGTAGTCAGAGACTTTGGCTGCAGACAACAAACCTGGACTCTGGCTGGTTTGGACAGAAAAGGAATTTATTGATGTCCTGCCCCTAACTCCCTTGGACCACCTCTGAGGTCATACTCTAAGCAGGCAGCTTCATCCTCTGGGTCCTCAGACGCTTGCTTAGTTTGAGTACAGAGCAGTCAACAATGGCAGAAATGAAACATCCTCAGGCCACCCTCAACCAGTGAGGGGCAGGAGTCAGTGAATAAATACCCAGCCCCCTGTCCCTCAGGGGGACAATTCTGATGCATAATGCTTCTTCAGAGAGTCCCTAGCAGAAGTGAGCCCCACTTGCCCACCAAGTTAACCTGCTCATCAGCGTACCCTTTATTGGCATTTCTTCCTTCCCCAGTACTTCCTGGCATCGCCTCCTACAGTAGATGTGTGTTCCAAAGATGGCCACAACACCTCCACCCACAAGCTCTTTTAGAACTTTGCTATTCCTTCCATCAAGAGATAGAGTCTCTGTCCCCTTCCCTTGAGCCGGCGGGGGGTGGGGGGGGAGGAAAATTCTTGTGACAGCTCCTGCAAATAGAACACTGCAGAAATGATGCTATATGACTTCCAAGACTAGACTGGAAAAGGCCACGAAGTTTCTGCCAGGTTCTCTTAGGACACTCACTCTTAGAAGGCAGCCGCCATGCCATTGGGAAGCCCAGGCCACATGGAGAGGCCACATGTAGGTGTCCTGGCTGACAGGCTGTACCATCCAACAGATGCATAATGGAAGTCACCTCCAGATGATTCCAGCCCCGGCCATCAAGTCACTCCCCACTATTGAGTCACCTGGATGATGGCCCAGACATTGTGGAGAAGAGACAAGCAGTCCCCGCTGTGCCCTGTCTGAATTCTTGACCCACAGACTCTATGGGGATAGTAAAGTGATTATTTTATGCCACTACGTTTTGGAGTGGTTTGTTTTGCAGTGCTAATAACTAGAATATTTCCCAAATAAACTACCTGCACACAGTCCCTGTCTCAGCATCTATTCCAATATAATGGAATTGCTGACTGGGCAGGTCTGGTCAGGGTCCATCCAGGTGGGGTCCATCTACCCCACCATGGCATCTGTCCCCCAACACAGTTCTGATAGTGGGGAAAGAAGGTTCCCCATAGGAAAACTGGGTTACAGCTAACAGGCTTTGCTAGTTCTTTTTTTTTTTTTTTTTAGATTTATTTATTTATTTGAGAAAAAGCACGAATGTGCACAGGGGGAAGGGGCAGAAGGAGAGAGAGAGAATCCCAAGCAGACTCCCCGCTAAGCACGGAGCCTGATGAGGGGCTGGATCTCATGATCCTGAGATCATGACCTGAGCCGAAATCAAGAGTCAGACGCTTAACTCACTGAGCCACCAGGCGCCCCCAGACCTTGCTCATTCTGTTCAGCAGCCAGGGGCCATGAACTTCAGGGAACAGTGGACCCTCCTGAACCCAGAGGTTAGTGCCAATTAAGCTAAGCCAATCATGGTAATTCCACTCCCCTTGCCAAGGATTGGTTTGGGCATGGACATGCGATATAATTCTTGCCAACGAGATAAGAGGAAAAGGCTCGTGGGCAGGGAGTGGAGGAGTAAGGAATGGTGAGTAAAGCTTTCTTCACTCTTAAAAAGAAGCACAAAGGGATGTCCTAAGTTCTGCCTTTGAAAGTTGTTGTATAGTGAGTGATGTGATGCTTGGAGCTACAGCAGCCATCCTGGGACTGCAAGGGGGCAAGCTCGAGGATTAAAAACCAGAACACAGAGGATGAAAAACTAAGAACCTACTGCCTACAATGGCAAAATGGGGCATTACACAAAGCATGGAGCCCTTAAGCGAACCCTCACAAATCACACCCATAACAACTTTGAGTGACGCACAGTATTGTTCATCAGAAAGGTAATGAGTTCAGGTACAGAAAGTGTCAGTAACTAGTCCATGCAGCGGGCTCCCCTCCCCACGGTGGGTACCATCTCTGGTTTTCTCCAGTTAAGACGGTGATATGCATTCCCCATGCAGATGCCAACCAGGGTGAAGAGGAGGACAACCAAACCAGATCAGCCTGTATTTACCAGATATGCCTGTTTTCAGCCAGGTCTGAGACTGTCCAACCTCCTCGCTTTTGCTAGAGCTGTGTGTTTGGCTGGAATGTCCTTCATGTCTACCTTCCATTCAACACCACGCATGTGCCACGTACCTTTCTAAACACTTCATGCGTTACTCTCACTCTCCCTGGCAATCCAGAGAAGAAACTGAGGCAAGAGAAGGTGAGTTAGCCCCCCCCAAATACACACACACACCCTCAAGTCACACGATTTAGTACGTGGTGGAGTCAGGATTCAAATCCACGCCATTCAAGTGACTCCAAAGCCTACACCTGCTTCTTCCCTCTCCCTCCCCAGGACCAAGCCGCAAGTTCCAGTCTGAATGCCTCTCCCCCAGGGAGCCTTTCCTGATGCGCTCAGTCAAATAGGGCCTCTCCTTCAGCCCTCTGGATGTTCATCATAAAACCAGTCACGTTCCTTGGTTACTGCCGTGGAAGCACTGATTTACCCCCCACTTTGCCCTCCATCAGCCATTATCCCCAAATGTTCCCCAAATCTCCCCACAACCATTTTAACAGAAGAGAACGATGAGGCTCAGAGAGGTTAAGCAACTTGCCTGAAAACACACAACTAGACAGTGGCCCAATGGTATCCAAACCCAGGCAAATCTGTGCCAAACTCCTAATGTTGCCATGGATGCTGATACACACCTGGAATTCAAACCAGGAGCCTCTGGGGCGCCTGGGTGGCTTAGTCGTTAAGCGTCTGCCTTCGGCTCAGGTCATGATCCCAGCGTCCTGGGATCAAGCCCCACATGGGGCTCCCTGCTCCGCAGGAAGCCTGCTTCTCCCTCTCCCACTCCCCTTGCTTGTGTCCCTGCTCTTGCTATCTCTCTCTCTGTCAAATAAATAAAATCTTTAAAAAATAAATAAATAAACCAGGAGCCTCTGCCTACCTCCCCCTGGGCCCAGAGGATGCTGGGTGCTGAACCTGGGCATCAGAGGAAAGAGGACTTTGAATGGGAGAGAGTGGGGCTGGCACTCAGCATGTCTGGACCCAAGTCATCACCACCACCACCACCCACCCCGCCCCACCCCCTCCTCAGCCTCAGTGTCCACATCTGTAAGCAGGTGTTGGTGGCTAAGGGGTCCTGGGAAGGCTCAGATGACTTTCATTTTCAGCTGCCCTACCTTGGACAAGCAGTTCAATAATTCTACATCTTAGTGGTGCTGTGAGGATGCGATGAGAGAGTTAGTGCGCATGCTTAGGGCAGTGCCCACACATTGTCAGCAGCATTCCAGAAGGCTCCTTGTGACAGTTACTTTGGCTGAACAGAGGCAGCCAGCAGTGAGGTACAGAATGTACTCTGGAGTGAGACAGCCTGGGTTTGAACCCTGCCTGGCTCAGCCACTTACTAGCTCCGTGACCTTGGCCGAATCACTTACAGCTCGCTGTGCCTCAGTCTTCTCATCTGTAAAAAGGGAATAATAATCACACCTATCTTGCGGGGTTGTTTGGAGACTGAAATAAGTTAATACCTACGCAAAGTGTTCCCAACAGCGCCTGACAGCACCAGATTCGCAGTTTTACTCTTGTCGGTATTGGTATCGCCTCCTTGGCCATTCCGGCTACTGCTCCGACGGCCGGGGCCGCCGAGCACCGCGGGTTTTGCCGACTCATCCTCGCCGGGCAGGTCCGGCCGCCCCCCTCGTCCCCGTCCCCGCCCCCGCCCCCGCCCCCGCCGCGGGCCTGAGTCACCCCGGCCTCCGCGTCAGCCGCGCCCCTCCCGCCCCGCGACCTGCAGACTCACCCTGAGTCAGCCTGCCCGGGCGCTTCCACTCCGGGACGCGGCGAGGCAGAGGGGAGGCTGCGGGGCGCCCCCCGGCGGACAGGCCAAGTCCCGCGCGGGCCGCGGCGCGCAGCCGGCGGGGAGCGCGGGGCCGGACCACTTCCGGGCGGGGGGGACACGCGCTCGCCCCGGCGGCCGCCCCCGCCGCCTGCGCAGAGTGGTACGGCCCGACCGGGGTTAAAGCTCGCGGGCCGCGCGGCTGCGGCGGCGGCGGAGCGATGGGGCTGCGCGCGGGAGGAGCGCTGGGCAGGGCCGGGGCCGGGGCCGGGGTCGGCCGGGGGGCGCCTGGGGGACCCGGGCCGAGCAGCGGCGCGCAGGGCGGCAGCATCCACTCGGGCTGCATCGTCGCGGTGCACAACGTGCCGCTGAGCGTGCTCATCCGGCCACTGCCGTCCGTGCTGGACCCGGCCAAGGTGCAGAGCCTCGTGGACACGATCCGGGTGAGGCCCGGGGAGGCGGGCCGGAGGGAGGGCTCCGCAGGAGGGAGGTCACACTGGACTCGAGACGGGACTGGTTCCAGGCGCTCCGCCGGGGCCCAGCATTTGCTGTGTGACCTTGAGCAAGGGGCTGGGTCTCTCTGGGCCTCTGTTTCCTCGCTTGAGCAAGCAGGAGATTGGAGGAGATGATTTAAAAAAAACGATCGCGAACTCTGTTTATAAAGCTAGCACTTGCAGTGCCCAGGAGCTGTTTCAAGTGCCTGAGCTTCATGCCAACCCTGTGAGGTAGATGCTACTACTGTCCCTCTTTTACAGACGGGGAAACTGAGGCACGGAGGATTTTTTTTTTTTAAGGTAGCTTGACCAAGGTCAGGCACTTTGAAAGTGGCACAGACTGGCTCCAGTGCCCAGCAGCTTGGCCACCACACTCTGGAGTTAAGCCATGCTGTCATTTCTGGCTGTTACAGTCAGTGGCTGTGGGACTGGACATGTCATGTCTGCTGGGAGGCCCTTGCTGGAACTGGATCTGGGAGAGGACAGGGATCAGCCCCATCACTGAGGGAGGGTGTTGAAGAATGGGGAAGTGATCCTGGCAGGAACTTTATGGGAGGAAAGGAACATGTGTGTCAGGTTGGGCCTGCGTAGCATCGTGTCACCTTCCCCCATCAGACCCTTGGAAGGTGGTCCTGGCGGACTCCAAGGCCCCACCAGACCCCTCTACAGCTCCCCAGATTGCCACAGGGCCTGCTCCCTCTCTTGGCTCAGGCCTCTGCCCCCTCTCTGCCCTTGCTAACACTGCCCTGGCCTCTCAAGATTACCCCCCTTAACCCGAGGTATTTTCCCATAAAGCACTTCTGTCCCTCAGGCTTATATATTTGTTTGCGTTCTATGGTCTGTCTTCTCAGGTCAACTGCACAAAAGCGGGGACTTTGGTCATATCCTGGCAGTTTCCTCAACACTAACTAGCATGGTGCCCAGCTGTTTGTGGAGGATCTAGCCGTGTATGTGCTCTCCCACCCCCAGGCCTTTGCACAGGCTCTTTTACCCCTGCCAGGAACTCTTCCATCTCTTCCTTACTGTTTCTAACTCCTTCTTGGTCTTACTGACCCAGTGTCCGTGTCTTCCCTGATGCCCCCCTACTGGGTTAGTGGCCTCTTGTGGGCCCCCAGACACCTGCATGCTCAGCAGCGTAGCTCCGATCCCCCTGGGTGTTAATGGCCTGTTTAGACACCTGTCTTCCATGCTAGAACCATATGCTCGTGGAGGGCAAGAACCAAGCCTGTCTTTACTTACCATATGTATTCATTTTCTATGGCAACTGTAACAAATTGCCAGGAGTTAGTGGCTTAAAACAATACAAATGTGTTATTTCCTAGTTCTGTAGTTCAGAAGTCCAAAATGGGTCTCCCTGGGCTACAATCAAGGTGTCAGCAGGGCTGCATTCCTTCTGGAGGCTCTTGGGGAGAATCCTTTTCCTTGCCTTTCCCAGCTTCTAGAGACCACCCACAATCTTTGGCTCATGGCTTCTTTCCCCCCATCTCCAAAGCCAGCAACATCAGACCTCCTCTTTTGCCTTTTCCACTTTCAAGGACGCCAGTGATTACATGCAACCCATCTGGATAACCCAGAATAATCTCTCCATCTCAGGATCCTTAACTTCATTCCATCTGCAAAGTCCCCTTGGCCTACCCAGGCTTCAGGGATTAGAACGGGGACGTTTTGGGGGGCCATGACCCCGCCCACTCACCATCGTGCCCCCCGGCGCCCAGCACAAGGCCCGTCCGGCACCGGCTCCTCGTTCATGCCCCTCTGCCGGATGGGCTGTGCTCCACACCTCCCAGGCGTCAGCTCTGTGACTCTTCACCTGCAGCGCCAGAGAGCATCCACACCCATTTTACAGATGAGGAACGGCTCTCAGAGAGCTGAGGCCGTTTGCTCTGGGTCCCCCAGCAGCTCCGTGGAGGAGCTGAAATTCAGATGCAGGATTTTTTGGGTTCCAGAACCCCCGCCTGTCACTGCTGGGCCTTACTGCTTACTAGTCATTTCTGGAATAAATGGATAAATGAACCCATCAAATAAGCATAATAAAAGAGAACCCATGGGCCAGTTGGCAGGAGGCCTCCTAGGCAGCTCACGCCTAATGTGGTCTCCCCACTGTGCTCCATCCCCCCACCCCCACACCCCCACACCCCCTCCCGCCACCTTGGGCTTTACCCACTCTGCACCTCGCTGCTCAGGCCCCTAACAGAAAGTCAACCTGGATTCTCTTCTTCCTCTTCTCCTTACATTCAGCCCTTCTGCCAGTCTCCTCCGAGCTGCCCCCATGTCCTGAACCTGTCTGCCTCTCCCTGACCCATCCACGTCCTCATCCAGACCAGGGTCTTCTGCTGGATACCTACTAAGGCCTCACCTTGGTTTCCCCTTTGTCCACCCCTTTGTTTTGGTGAAACCTGCTCTCTCATGACAGCTTTCTAGAAGGGTCATCCAATCATGTCACCCGCCACTGTTAGAAACCAACCTGCACAGTCTGGCTCCTACTGACCTTTCTGACCTCTTATACTCCTCCACCTCCAGCCCATTCTGTTTACACTGGCCTCCTTGCCATGCCTCCAGCATGGTGAACTTGTTCTGGCCTCAGGGCTTTTGCATTTGCTGTTCCCTCCAGTAATACAGAGCATACATTACTGAGCACTTTCCATGTGCCAAGCATTGTTCGGAGTGCTTTACATACACTTACTCACTTAACTCAACAGCTCTATGAGGTGGGTCTCTTGCCTTCATCCCTATTTGATAGACGGGGCAGGTGAGGCGCAGAGATTAATTGTCCAAGATGACGTAGCAGTTACGTAGCAGAGCTGAGATTTGAACCTAGGCAGTCAGGCTCTGACTCTATAAACTGTTCCACCTGTCTCTCTTCCCAAGCCAACTCCTCTGCGTTGCGTCTCTGCTCCCTTGTGACCTCAGAGAGCCCGCACGGATGCCCATCCCGGGCCTGTCAGCCTGTGTTACTGTCCTCACAGCATAGGTCATTCCAGCTCTCAACTCTTTCGTTCCATCTGCCCCACCAGACTGGAGTCCCGTGAAGGCAGGGGCTATGCCTGGCCCATTCTGGCTGTACTTTATTCCCGGAGTCTAGAACAGGGCCAAACAGAGAGTGTGTATGTGGTATAATAATAAACTGATAAATGTTTAACAACCTGGTCTCTAGGGGGGAAGAGCCCTGATTTGTAGCATCTGCTCGTTTCCCTGATGTAAATCAGTGTGGCTGATTTTCAAGCTACTGAGTTGATGACAACCAGCTCACAAAATTTCTGAATATTTAACAGTTGTCTCCCATAAGCCAGCATGAGCCAGTGAGTACCCTGTTGGAGCTCAGCGCCGGTTAACAGAGTCCACACCGCAAACCACCACGCCTTGCGCCGTGCTCACTGACACTGTCCTCTTCTCTAGGAGGATCCAGACAGCGTCCCTCCTATTGACGTCCTCTGGATCAAAGGGGCCCAGGGTGGTGACTACTTCTACTCCTTTGGGGGCTGCCACCGCTATGCGGCCTACCAGCAGCTGCAGCGAGAGACCATCCCTGCCAAGCTTGTCCGGTCCACCCTCTCAGACCTCAGGGTGTACCTGGGTGCTTCAACACCAGACTTACAATAGCAGCCTCCTTGGCGCCTCCCAACACTCCCAAGAGCCCGGAAGACACAACCTGGCCTCTAGGGCACCAGGCCATGCAGGAAACGATCGGGCTCAGGGGCACGTTCTCTGTGCCAAGGGGGCGGTCTGACTCTGAGCACCTGTTCCACTAGCTGCAAGACCGTGGACTCATTACTGAACAATGTGGGAGCCCCAGATCCCACTGCTGCAGAAACGGGGACGTGTCTTTGCTCTCGAGGTATTCTTGAGAGAATGAAATGGAAAAGGAGATGGGTTGGGAGAGCGACCTGTTCCTGGCTCCAGATTCCCAAGCACAAGGTCCTACATTTTTGTCTGTGTATCTCCCATTATGTGGAATACGTTCAGCTGCAAGTAAAGGAAAGCCTAGGTTACAGTGGCTTAAACAAAGAGAAGTCTGTCCACACAGCGTGAATTCTGGAGAGAGGTGGTATTGCTTCAGCACCCCAGTGAAGATAGGACTCACATCTCTGATTCCATTTGGCCTTGTTACTTCATGGTCAAAGATAGCTGCTGGACCTCCAGAAATTGTGGCTGTGTTCAAGGAAGAAAGGTGTGGGGGAGGAAGAAGGGCCAAGCCAGCTGTCGACTTCTATCATGAAGTCAGACCTTTTTCAGAGGCCTGTTTCCTGTTCTACCCCCTGCATATTTCTACTTAGGTCTCCTTGGCCCAAACCAGCTACAGTTGCCACCCCTGGCTGCGAAGAAAGCCAAGATGGCAGGGAACAGAATTGTCATAACCAGTAGACCCTTCATACTCCATCCTGTGGAACCGGCACACCGCTTCCTGAAATAAAATCCCATTACCAAGAGAGAAATAAGGAATTGTGTATCAGCTAGTCTTTGCCGTGTAACAGACCATCTCCAAACTTGACAGCTGAATGCACGTCATTCATTTGCCTACAGTTCTGCAGGTTTGCAATTTGGGCTGGACACATGGGGATAGTTCTGCTGGGCTAGCCCAGCATCACTCCCAAGGCTGCATGCAGTCAGCTATTACCTCGAAGAGGGCTGGATGGTCTAAGATGGCCCTACTCACTTGTCTGGCATTTGGCAGGCTGGAGGCTGGGTGACTTTGTCCTCGTTCATGCTGCAGTCTCGCCAGCAGTTTCGCTCAGGCTTCCTGACATGGCTTCAGAGTATCATGAGAGTGAAAGTAGAAGCTGCAAGGCAGATGGATCTCTCCCAGGGCTGGGCCTGCTCTACTAGGGGCATCTGTCATGGTCTGCACTGGTGGGGTGGGGGTAGGCCAGATGGGACATTCCAAAGGGGCTTCTGAAAACGAGTCCTGGGTGAAGGAGAGAAGGACAGGAAGGGTGCAAAGTGAAGCAGGTTTTGCTCTCACTGTTCTGCTAAGGGATCTCGGTCCCTGGATGTTTTCAAGCCTCAGTTTTCCCAGCTCAGTAACCAAGACAACAGCTTTCCTACCCATTCTCTGTCCCAGGGAAAGATGACTGAGGTGACCAGTTTAAATGTAAAATGAATATAGTCCTAAATGCAGTGTAATATCCTAGAACCAAAAAAAGGACATTGGTGGAAAAACTGGAGATCTGAATAAGGTGTGGATTTTAATAATATACCAGTCTCAGGCTCTTAGTTTTGACAAATGTACATGTAAAACGTAAGGTGATGGTGGGGTAGGCTGGGTGCAGAATTTGGGGGAACTCTTTACTCTCTTTGCAGCTTGTAAGTCAAAAATCATTCCCAAATAAAAGCTCATTTAATAAAAATGAGAGGGTGTACTTGCTTTGGACTGCCAGTTTAGGTTCTCAACAGGTTTGCTACAACACGGATTGCTGGGCCCTAGCCCCAGAGTCTCTGACTTAGCAGGTCTGGAGTGGGGCCTGCAGATTTGCTTTTCTAGCGAGTTCCCGGTGCTGCTGCTGCTGCTGCTGTCCAGGGACCACAAGCTGAGACCACTGATCCAGACTTAGGCAATGATTTTCAAATATGGTGACACCCCCTCCACCCACATTGGGCTGAGTCCCAGGAGCCCATGTTATGGGATTAGCTTGTGCACCCACCCATTCATCGTAGGGCATTGGATGAGCCCCTCCCTGGAGGTTTTTTCTAAGCTGTCAAATGGACTGTCTACCCCTGAGATTTGTACCAAGGGTCAGGAAGCTGAGGGCAGGTTTTGTAAACTGCTGTCATGAGGTGCCACTGGTTCATGTGAGTAATCACCTCCTCCTGACCCACTGGTCTAGGATACCAGAACGGTTGCCCCTTCCTGAGAAAGCTTTTCCTTCTTGCAGGTAAGACCCAAGCAGACAGCACTAGGGGCCCTGTGTCTAGACACTGGGAGGGCGGTGTGGAATAGATTTGAAGTAGGAGGGATTGGTCATTCTTTTATTATTATTATTTTTTAATTTAAATTCAATTTATAGAGTACATCGTTAGTTAGTTTCAGATGCAGAGTTCAGTGATTCATCAGTTGCACACAACACCCAGTGCTCATCACAAAAAGTGCCCTCGTTAATGCCCATCACCCAGTTACCCCATCCTCCCACCCACCGCCCCTCTAGCAACCCCGTTTGTTTTCTAGAGTTCAGAGCCTCTCGTGGTTTGACTCCCTCTTTGATTTCTTGCCACAGAAGAGGAGCAGGGTTTTGAAACTGGCTGGTTGCTCTCAGTGGAAGCTGAGAGCTGCATTTTCCTCTTTGCGCCAGCAGGTGGCGCTGCTTCCTGGCCCGCCACAGCAGGGCGGGGCCTCTAGCAGGCAGAGCAAGTTCTGTGGGAAGAGTGTGGAGGGAGGGGCTTGACTGCAAGGGAGATGAATCAGGTGCCCAGAGAAGCCCGGGGCTTCAGGCTCGCGGAGACCCGGCTGGGAGTTTCAGGTTCTCTTTACCCTGTCCACTCCTGCTCTGTGGTCATACACACATCATGGCCTCTCTGGTCTACACTGGGGGGTACTGAGCCAGATGGTCTCAAGCTCAGCAAAAGTGGTACCTCCTGCAAGAAGCTTCCCGATACTTCAGGCTGAGCCACATGCCTCTTCTGGGCTCCCCAGTCTGTGTGTCCCCTCCCCAGACAAACCACTGCCCCCCAGGAACTTGGGTCCAGTGAAAGTGTGTAGGGACCCCTTAGGCCCCTCGCTGCCCTGGAACCCACCCCCAGTCACCACGGAAGATTTAAAATGGTTTTTAATTTCACAAGTTAGATGTGCATAATTCACCTTTTAAACATAAAAATATTAAAATGCTAAATAATTAAAAATTCCAATAGGAGAGGCAAGCTGAGACCCGCTGTGAGTCCCAGTTCCTGGTGGCCCCTGTGCCCTCCCCACTTTTGGGACAGTTACCTTCATGACTTTGGCATATACCCTTCCAGACCTTGTTCTAACTTTGTAGTAATGTAGTGTGTAAGGTATAAGTAAAGCATGCTTTTCTTTTTTACGCTATTTTGCAGATTGCATTCCTCACCCCAGCACTGTGCCATTCCCCCCATTATTAGCCATTATTTGCCATTCACCCCATTAATTGTCTTTGCTCTTCTCCCAGAGTCTCCCTCATTCTGGTCACTTCCTCAAAGGGGCCTCCCCTGACCATTCTGTCTAAAATGGTCTCCCTCCCCTAGATTCTGTCACCTTACTCGGCTTTATTTTCTTTGTGGCATTTATCACACTCTCTGAAGTTATCTTCTGTGTCTGTTTCTGTCTCACTGGCTAGAAAACATTGTCCAGGCAAGACTTGATCTATCTTATCACTGTAGGCCCACTGCTCAAAACATAGTAAGTGTTCAATAAGTATTTGTTGGATGCATAAGTGCCATGGAGGTCTAGCTCATTCTTTTAATTACTATGTGGCATTCCAAGGCCTGAATACCACCATTTCCTAGTCATTTTCCTGTTAATGGACAGTTGAGCTTTCCCGTTTTGCTGTTCTGAACAACTTTGATGGCACTCTCCGTCCTCTCTCCACTGTATCCCTGGGAGAGGGACTGCCTGGCTGATCCACAGCTCAGTTTCTGACTTCTAAGGTACGAGCAGATTGCTCTGCGGGGTGGCTGTTCCAAGTGCCTTTTCCTCCAGCAGAGTTTGGAGGGGCCGCTTTCCTTCCCTGCACTCCAGCCAGCGCTTCTTAACCTTTTTTTGGGTCATGAACATAGTTGAGAATCCAAAGAAAGCCACAAGCCCTTTCTCCAGAACACACACACACACACACACACACACACACACACACACACAAATATGTTGGGCCATTTCTGGGGCTCCTTGGACTTGATGGCCTCATCCCCCAGGGGACCCTGTATCGAATGTTTAGAAGCCTAATTATCTGATTGTATGGATGGGAACACTGAGGCACACACAGATGGGGGTGTGAATGAATGAATAAATGGGATGTAGTTTTGTGGGGTTCAAGAAAAGTGTTCAGGCCTGATCTGCCTCCAGTCAGAAAAACACTTCCTGGGGGGAAGGGGGAATGGACTCTAAGGGTCTAGGCAGCTCCACCTGTCAGCTCCGGCCAAAGGCAGGCTCAGTCTGGCATCCAGGGTCAAAGTGGGGAAGCAGGCAGAGGCCCTGACTCCCCTGGGCCAGAAGAGGCTGCAAGGCCTTCATCCCTGCCTCCGGTACACGTGCGTGTTGACAGCCACATTTGCTTCCCTGCCGGCTCTGCCCGAGCGGTCCGATCCTGACTCGGGCATTCCCACGGAGCGGGAAGGTAGGGAGAGCTCATCACAGAAAGACCATCATCAGAATCATGGTTTCCACACTTGACACGCTAGTCCCGACAGGTGGGCTGGGCAGACATTATCTTCCCAGTGGGACAGATGGGTAAACTGAGGCCGAGGCCGCCCCCCAGAGCCGTTAACCGCCCGCCCGCACACACGGACCCCCGCCGGCCATCCGCCCGGCCCTCCCTCGCCGCCCCTTCCCCGGGCCTGACCCCCGGCGCTGCCTGACGGATGACCTCAGCTGCCGCCAATCCATTGGTTCCAGCTCCCGGGGGGGTGCGCGCAGAACAAAGCGCGCTTTGTGGCGGGGCCGTCCCCTCGCCCGGCGCGTCCGCCGCCGGGACCCCCTCCGGAACTCCGAGCGACGCCCCCCGGCCGACAGCCGTGTAATGTCTTCCAGGCCGCGCGGC